AAAAAAAAAAAAAAAAAAGCTGTTAGTGCCAAGGTTGAGAAATCCCGTCCAAGATTAATGCAGAGTACAGAGAAGAAAGACCTGGGGAGGAGTGGGGCAGCACCAAGAAATACAAACACAAAATTCAGAGGGACACAGACCCTCGACAACAGTGATTTTCACACTGATTTATAAAGATACAGGATCTTAGGGATTAACATTCCTATTTGGTGCCCTTTTAGGATATTGCTAATAGGACTTTAAGGCCAGTTTAAGTTTTTCTACTACTACATTTTTATCGATTCATTCACCAAGCATTTCTTGAACACCTACTGTGTGCCAGAGGCTGAGAACACAAAGATGGGTGAGCCTTTCTCTTCCCTGGGGAAGCCGGGAGATTTTGGTGGTGGAAATACCTGTAAATAAAGAATTAGAATTCCAAGGGCAAGAGGTAAAGGGCAAGAAAACAAGCCGTTCTCTGCATCAAGCACACCTGCTTATCTCCCGTCGTCTTCATATCCGCTCGCACCAGTGAGTGTTACTCCCTTTTCACAACAGAAGAAAGTGTGAGATTAATAACAAGAGCAGACAAGCATGTGTCAGAGCCTGTTCTCAATGTTTTTATTTATTTATTTTCTAATTTATTTTGTTGTTGTTGTTTTGAGACCAAAGTCTCCCTCTGCTGCCCAGGCTGGAGTGCAGTCTGCTCACTGCAGCCCCCACCGCCCAGGTTCAAGCAATTATCCTGCCTCAGCCTCCCAAGTAGCTGGGATTACAGGTGTACACCAACATGCCTACCTTTTTATTTTTATTTTTATTTTTTTGAGAGAGAGTTTTGCTCTTGTTCAGGCTGGAGTGCAATCATGTAATCTCAGCTCACCACAACCTCTGCCTCCTGGGTTCAAGCAATTTTCCTGCCTCAGCCTCCTGAGTAGCTGGGATTACGGGCATGGGTTACCATGCCTGGCTGGCTAATTTTATATTTTTAGTAGAGACGGGATTTCTCCATGTTGGTCAGGCTGGTCTCAAACTCCTGATCTCATGTGATCCAGCCGCCTCGGCCTCCCAAAGTGCTGGGATTACAGGCATGAGCCACTGCATCCAGCCAATTTTTGTATTTTTAGTGGAGATGGGGTTTCACCACGTTGGTCAGGCTGGTCTTGAACTCCCCATGTCAGGTGATCCACCCACCTCAGCCTCCCAAAGTGCTGGGATTACAGGCAAGAGCCACCTCACCCAGCCCTCAGTTTTTCTTTTTATGTAACTCATTGTTTTTTTTTATTAACTCATTATACTTTCACAACTATCCTTTGAGGAGGGCTGTAATATGATCACCCTCGTTTTACATCCGTAGGTGCTGAGGGACCAGGGGTTTAGGTAACTTGTCCAAGGTCCCATAGCCAGGCTGTCTGACTCTAGAATCCATGCTTTTCACAATCCACACTGGTGCTTCTCTTACAACTCATCCAAAGAAGAAAATGGTAGATCTGGGCTTAAAAGCTGGACTGTGATCAAAAACCCAATGCTCTTCTGCTACACGATATTCTCCCCTATTCCAGAAAAGTGCCCAGCATGCTATAAGCTCACAGGTGTCTGACTGTGTCTGAAGAAGCCAAAGTCGATTTCAGTGGAAGGTAACATCTGAACTCACATTGGGTGTCTAAGGAGATATATGCCAGGGAGGAAGGTCAGACAAAGAGAGGAGGGACAAGAGCCGGTGGACAATAACAACAAATTCCACCATGGCTAGCAGTTTGTTGTGGTTGGAATATAAGCCACACAAGAGCAAAGGACTAAAGAGAACCTAGAGGCCAGGTGCGGTGGCTCACATCTATAATCCCAGCCCTTTGGAAGGCCAAGATGAAATGATCATTTGAGCCTAGGAGTTTGAGACCTGTCTGGGCAACATAAAGAGACCTCATCTCTACACACACACAAAAGAAAACATTAGCCAGGCATGGTGGTACATGTCTGTCGTCCTAGCTACTCAGGAGGCTAAAGCAGGAAGATTACTTGAGCCCGGGAGGTTGAAGCTGCAGTGAGCCATGATCATACCACTGCACTCCAGCCTGGACAACAGAGTGAGACCGTGTCCTAAAAAAAAGAAGAAACAGAAAAAAGAACCTAGAGAAGTAAATAAGGGCCAGATCAAGAAGTGTGACTTTGATTTCTAGGCAGAAGGTAATTATTAAAAGACCATAAGCAGGCCGGGCATGGTGGCTCACACCTGTAATCCCAGCACTTCGGGAGGCCAAGGCAGGTAGATCACCTGAGGTCAGGAGTTTGAGACCAGCCTGGCCAACGTGGTGAAACCCCATCTCTACTCAAAATATAAAAGTTAGCCAGGCGTGGTGGCTAACTTTTTTTTTTTTTAACATTTCTGTATTGAAATAGAGGCAACAGGGCCGAGGATGGGGCGCAGGGCCAGTGGGGTGCAACCCCCTTACTGCTGTCCCTCTAGCCAAGGGGCACAGGCCAGACTTCAAAGCCCTGCTGCGTTCAGGTGAGGTATGCAGGCACGCACTGCAGGCAGGGAGAATGGGAATTTCTAGATAACTATCTTTCTGTAAGAATAATTTGCGGTTCAGGAGATGGCTCTGAGGAGCGGTTCGGGGTTGGGAGGGGATGCCAGCTCAGCTAGTGCAGCCCCCAGTGATGGGCAGGGGTGGAATCACCATCAGTGGTAATCTTAGCTACTCGGGAAGTTGAGGTGGGAGAATCAATTGAACCCAGGAGGCAGAGGTTGCAGTGAGCCAAGACTGCACCACTGCACTCAGCCTGGATGATGGATGACAGAGTGAGACTTGGTCTCAAAAAAAAAAAAAGAAGAAAGAAAGAAAGAAAGAAAAGACCATAAACAGGGTATGATCTGACTTGACATCAACTTGATATCAACCCATATTTTGGGGTCTAGAACAAATATTTCCCATTCCTTTCTGTCCGCATGCCCTGCTCTTGCTCTTTTCAATCAACTTTCACCTAGTTAAAATGTTTATTTTTCAGTTTTAATTTTAATATTTTAATTTATTTTGACAGCGAGTCTCACTCTGTTGCCCAGGCTGGAGTGCGGTGGCACAGTCTTGGTTCACTGCAACCTCTGCCTCCCAGCTTCAAGTGATTCTTGTGCCTCAGCCTCTCACGTGGCTGCGATTACAGGCGCACACCATGCCTGGCTAATTTTCATATTTTTATAGAGATGAGGTTTCACCATGTTGACCAGACTGGTCTCGAACTCCTGGCCTCAAGTGATCTGCCCGCCTCAGCCTCCCAAAATGCTGGAATTGCAGGTGTTAGCCACCACGCCTAGCCTAAATGTTTCCAGTGTGGGGAAAGAAGATGAAAAACCTGGACTGGCTTTCCCCTAGCAATTCTCAGCAGCTGTCAGCGCCACTCAAGCCTGCTGACATGCAGGAGTTATTAATCATGACGGAGTGCTGTTGAAATCAGTAAGCAATGTGATACAATTACAACCAAAATTATGCTTTCTAGATTGATGTGGTTTGAGTGACAGTGGTCTTATTAATAATACTCATATAGTGCTTTATAGTGTACCAAGCTCTTTCATATGCACTCTGTTGTTTGATCATCAAAACAAACCAAGGAGGTAGGTATTATCCCATTTCACAGATGTGGAAACTGAAGCTTCCAGAGCTTGTGTGAGTAAGTGGAAAGAATGAACACAGAACTCCAGACTTCCAGTCTCATGCTCCATCCTTGCCTTCCTGCCTTGCCTTCCTCCCTCTTTAACCATGTTTTTTCTTTTCTTTTTTGTGTTTATATATTTTAATTGTCCTGTATGAGTGGGACAGCAAAAGCCAGGAGACTTGATTTTGCCTTCCCCTGTCTTGTGTAGGGTTGGCCCACTGTGGCCCCTATGCTTGCTAATGCAGCTCCATGATGTTTTTCCAGACACTTCCTGTCACCCTTAGTAGCTCTTGATCCTGATGGATCAAGAATGTGCTTCTCAGTCGGATGAAGTGGCTCGCACCTATAATCCCAGCAATTTCGGAGGCCAAGATGGGAGGATTACTTGAGGTCAGGAATTTGAGATCAGCCTGGACAACATGGTGAAACCCTGTGTCTAGTAACACAAAAATTAGCCGGGTATGGTGGCGGGCACCTGTAATCCTAGCTACTTGGAAGGCTGAGGCAGGAGAACTGGGTGAACCTGGGAGGCAGAGGTTGCAGTGAGCTGAGATCTCGACACTACACTACAGCCTGGGTGACAGAGTGAGACTACAACTCAAAAAAAAAAAAAAAATCAACAACAACAAAGTGTGCTTCTCGTCATGGCATGTAAGACTTTCTGCAGCCTGGCTTCTATCCTACTGTGACCAACCATCCTGGTTTGCTCAGAGCTGAGAGACAGGGGACTTTCACTGTTAAAACGGGGACAGTTCTGGGCAAAGTGGAGCAGTTGGTTACCCTTGATCTCCCTCTCCAGCTGCCCAACCTGCCACTCTCAAACTCTGACTTCTGAATGTCCCAGCAATTGCTGTCCTGTTTCAACCCCCTGTCTTTCCTTACGCTATTCCTTTTACTGAAAACACATACCTGTACCTTCTCTCAGCCACTTCCTACTTTTTCTTCAAAACTATGTTCTGAAATGTACATACTGATTCCTTCCTTCCTTCCTTCCTTCCTTCCTTCCTTCCTTCCTTCCTTCCCTCCCTCCCTCCCTCCCTCCTTTCTTCCTTCCTCTCTCTCTCTCTTTCATTTTTTGAGATGGAGTCTCGCTCTTGCCCAGGTTGGAGTGCAGTGACCTTATCTCGGCTCACTACAACCTCCACGTCCTGGGTTCAAACAATTTTCTTACCTCAGCCTCCCAAGTAGCTGGGATTACAGGCGTGAGCCACCACACCAAGCTAATTTTTGTATTTAGTAGAGACAGGGTTTCACCACGTTGGCCAGGCTGGTCTCAAACTCCTGAGCTCAGGTAATCTGCCCACCTCAGCATCCCAAAGAATTACAGGTGTGAGCCACTATGCCTAGCTTGTCTCTTTCTTTTTTATAACTTTTTAAAAAATATGGAATGCATCACGAATTTGTGTATCATCCTTGTGTAGGGGCCATGTTAATCTTCTCTGTATCATTCTGATTTTAGTACATGTGCTGCCGAAGCATTTGTGTCTTTGGCTGTGTTGTGAACTGAATGTTTGTGCCCTCCAACAATTTCATGTTAAAATACTAACACCCAAGATGAGGGTAGTAGGAGTGGGGGGCCTTTTGGACATGATTAGGTCATGAGGGGGAGCCCTTACAAATGGTATTAGTGCCCTTGGGCTGGAAATAGTGGCTCACACCTGTAATCCCAGCACTTTGGGAGTCTGAGGTGGGTGGATCATGAGGTAAAGAGATTGAGACCATCCTGGCCAACATAGTGAAACCCCATCTCTACTAAAAATACAAGAATTGGCTGGGCATGGTGGCATACACCTGTAGTCCCAGCTACTTGGGAGGCTAAGGCAGGACAATCACTTGAACCCAGGAGGCAGAGGTTGCAGTGAGCCAAGATTGTGCCACTGCACTCCAGCCTGGGCCATAGACTTTGTCTCAAAAAACAAAAAGATATTAGTGCCCTTATAAGAAGAGACACAAAAGAGGTGATTTTTTTTCTCCCCCGTGTGAGGAGACAATGAGAAGATAGCCATCTGCAAACCATCTGCAAACCAGGAAGAGTGCCCTCATAAGACACCAGGTCTGTCAGTCACCTGATCTTGGACTTCCCAGTCTCCAAAACTGTGAGAAATGTATGTTTGTTGTTTAAAATGTTTATTCTTTAAGCCTCTCACTCTATGGTATTCTGTTATAGCATTCTGAATGAAAACAGACTTCTCTTCCAGAATATGTTATGCCTCTTTGTAAAGTATCTTTTTATCCCAGTCTGTTGTAGAATTCCTGGCATGTAGTAGGCAGGTAATAAAGCTATGTAAGCAGATCAAATGTTGCTAGAACTCTGTAAGAATTTTTCTCAGTTCCCTTCCACAGATCTCTTGCCAGAGAGAAAAGGTTCCCCTCAGGGCAGCAAGGTAGAAGACTCGAGAAGTGAGCAGAGTTGAGATTATAGAAGGCTTGGCCTTCCTTCCATGCTAAGGGGTGCAGACTTTTATGTTTTTGCAATGGAGAGTCATTAACAGGACAGAAAAAATAATCGGTGGCCCTTTGTCTACGAACTCAATGAGAGCCTGGGCAAGAAAATAAAGAAATGCTGTTAACCAGCCCAGCAAGAATAGCAACAAAGATCCAACACTCGAGATCTCCTAGTCTATCTAGAGTTCTATACACTCTCCTCAGGGCCAGCAGAGCCTCGGCATCTAAGTCTACCAGAGCCCACAGGTGTAAAAACAAAACGGAAAGCATTTCCTGACTCAAGAAAACAGTTTAAATTACGGAGGCACGCACACAGGTAGATACAATATGAACAATTCCCTGGCATATTTATTCTCAAACCTGAGTGTAGGTCTGAGTCACCTGCAGGGCTCTTTAACAGAGATTGCTGAGTCCCATCCTTGGAGATCTCATTCAGTAGGTCCGAGGTGTGGCCTGGGAATCTGCATGTCTAACAAGTTCCTAGGTGTTTCTGCTTTTCTGGAGACAATGTGTCTAGGACCACCATCCCATAACCCACTCCACATGTCTCTCCTCAACAGATAACTTGCCTGTCCTTCATCCAAGGCTTGCCTCTTTCCTTGCTAACAACATCCCTCATTCTCCTTTCAGGGACTCATTCTCCTCTGGACAATCTCAGATCTGTGCCATGGGTGGGGAAGACAAAATATCACTTTCCCTCATTGGAGCTACTCGTTGACCCTCACTATATTCCTCTCTTTTTCTTACAACTTCAAAAATTGTTTGTGGCAGGCATGGTGGCTCACGCCTGTAATCCCAGCACTCTGGGAGGCTGAGGCAGGCGGATCACCTGGGGTCAGGAGTTCAAGACCAGCCTGGCCAACATGGCAAAACTCCATCTCTACTAAAAATACAAAAAGCAGCCGGGCAGGGTGGCATGCATCTATAATCCCAGGTACTCTGGGGGCTGAAACAGGAGAATTGCTTGAACCCAGGAGGCAGAGACTGCAGTGAACCAAGATCATGCCGCTGCACTCAAGCCTGGGTGACAGAGCAAGACTCTGTCTCAGAAAAAAAAAAATTGTGCTGACTACTTTCATTTTCTCACTATTCATTCTGTCTTTAACCTCTTGTAATCTTTCTTTTCTTCTACCACTCTGTTATTCATAAAGAGTATTTATAAGTTGGGTGTGGTGGCTCATGCCTGTAATCCCAGCACTTTGAGAGGCCAAGGCAGGTGGATCATTTGAGGTCAGGAGTTTGAGACCAGCCTGGCCAACATAGCAAAAGCTGTCTCTAATAAAAATACAAAAATTAGCCGGGTGTGGTGGCACACGCCTGTAATCCCAGCTACTCAGGAGGCTGAGGCAGGAGACTCACTGGAACCTAGGAAGTAGAAGTGCAGTGAGCTGAGATTGCACCATTGCCCTCCAGCCTGAGCAACAGAATGAGACTGTCTTTAAAAAAAAAAATAGAAGCACAAGAAGAGATTGCCCCTCATGCCTCTGAATACAGTTTTCCTGAAGATGTCAATGGTCGGAGCTATGGCAGCCATTTTGTTAGAATGAAGGGTTACATCTGAGCACAAAGGGCAACATATTGAGGCTGCCAAAGCAGGAAGTCGAGAAGCAGCTGAGTTATCAACATCATTTTGCAACTGATTAACCAATTCCAGAATTGCCTGTCTTCAGATTTCTTGCTATGTGAAATAATAATCCCTCACTTCTTTTCTTTGAGCTGGTGCTTTTCAAACTTAGTAGGTCTGGGGTGTGGCAAACTCTGAAACTGTCAAACTCTGAAATAATGCCATGTTGCTGACCCAAGGACTACACTTTAGATAGTAGGAATCTTTTTTTTTTTTTTTTTTTTTTTGAGACAGAGTTTCACTCTTGTTACCCAGGCTGGAGTGCAATGGCGCGATCTCGGCTCACCGCAGCCTCTGCCTCCCAGGTTCAGGCAATTCTCCTGCCTCAGCCTCCTGAGTAGCTGGGATTACAGGCACGCACCACCATGCCCAGCTAATTTTTTTGTATTTTTAGTAGAGACGAGGTTTCACCATATTGACCAGGATGGTCTCGATCTCTTGACCTCGTGATCCACCCGCCTCCGCCTCCCAAAGTGCTGGGATTACAGGCTTGAGCCACCGCGCCCGGCAGGAATCTATTTTTATCAAGCATTCTGTTATTTACAGCCTAACGCATCCTGATAACACACCTCTAGAATTTATTTATTTATTTATTGAGATTGAGCTTCCCTCTTGTCACCCAGGCTGGAGTGCAATGATGCAATTTCGGCTCACTTCAACCTCCGCCTCCCGGTTTCAAGCTATTCTCATTCCTCAGTCTCCAGAGTAGCTGGGATTACAGGCACCCACAACCATGCCCTGCTAATTTTTGTGGTTTTTTTTAGTAGAGATGGGGTTTCACCATGTTGACCCGGTTGGTCTTAAACTGCTGACCTCAGGTGATCCACCCACCTCAGCCTCCCAAAGTGCTGGGATTACAGGCATGAGGCATCACTCCTGTCTCACACCTCTAGAATCTACTTACTACTCTGTGTATCTTCTAACAAATGCAATTGCAGTGCTCCTCACAGATTCATTAAAAAACAAAACAAAACAAAACAAGCAAACAAACAAACAAAAAACCACTTAAAGCCCAATGTTAAAAAATGGAGAAAATTATTTTGTGTCCCATTAATACCCAGGATATTTTGTATCCTGAGTATATGTTACATAGAGATTGGTGGTGGTGGTGATTTTTGTAGCATTTAGGGGTTGCTATGAAAGTTGAGGGACTATTTTTTTTTCTTTTTGCTTAGGCAAACTCCTGAAAAATACTTCTCTTCCTATTTTCATGTAGAGAAACTTAATTTCTCTTTGTCTTCCCTGCCGCCCCCCTCCCCGTGGAGTTAAAAATAGTACGGATGTATTTATTTTGTGCCAATTTCCCTTATGATGTCTGTAAAATATTAACAGATACTTCAAAGTCCAAAAAGAAATGTCAGATTCTCACATTGGGGCAGGTGGAAAATAGAAGGCTCTTGATTCCTACTAACTAACTTGGCTGGGGATCACCAATGTTTTCATTGCTAACAATTGTTTTCTAATGAGAATATGAATATTTTTATTTTAATGGAAGTTTGATACCTGCAGTAAATTCATAGGCGTTAATTCATGCACTACTGTAGTGTCCTCTTCTCTGAACTCAGACAAACAGCCCATTTAACAGGATACATGTGACATAATAAAGTGACATGAAAATTAAAGTTATATCTATTTAGAACTGCAGAGAAGATTTCAGGTTGTCAGATTATATGTCACTACTAACTCTTGGTTATTGATGTTAGTGCAGTTAATTGATTTAGTGCTTCATTTAAAATACTAATTGAGCACCTCTCTGTAAACAACAGTTAGGTAATATGGGTGAATACTAAAAAGGTCACTTCGGTGATATTGGGAATACTAAAAATACATACAGAGAGAGGGAGCCTGAAGTCAGTTGCTCAGTTGCATTTAAGAGAAGTGCAGTGTAATGAAAGACATTTGATATATACACAGGAAAAACTCATTAATAATGAAAAGCACTTACGTAAGAGATTTAGAGAAGCAGAGTGCTCAGGGAATGGGGCAGTGGGAGGCAGTAAGTGCTGAGATTAGTTCCCTCAGCAGTTTGAATGATTTTATAAAGCAGTTAAGATTCCTTCACAGGAAGTTGAGGGAGGGAGAGGGTAAGTGGAGGGGCTTGGATGATCACAGTATTAAAAAAAAAATGGGAAAATAGGGCCTGGTATGATGGCTCATGCCTGTAATTCCAGTACTTTGGGAGACCAAAGTGGGCGAATCATTTGAGGTCAGGGGTTCGAGACTAGCCTGGCAAACATGGTGAAACCTCATTTCTACTAAAAATTCAAAAATTTAGCCAGGCATGGTGGTGGGCGCCTGTAATCCCAGCTACTGGGAGGCTGAGGCAGGAGGATTGCTTGAACCCAGGAGGCAGAGGTTGCTGTGAGCCGAGATCATGCCACTGCACTCCAGCCTGGGCGACTGAGCGAGA